GATGGTAATTGTGTTACTTGTAAAGGTGTATACTCACTGCATGCGTTTCTAGAATTGCGTATTAATCAGAAAAAGGTATAATATTCGAAGACGCCATGAATCACCCGCTCTGTAGTCAGAAACTGGCCGAAAATGCAAAACTTGTCAATCATCAAGGAACTTTAATGTTGAGTTTTTGCGTTTTTAATTTGATATTTTCTCTAGTTGCAACTCTGGGAAATCTTCTTGTTATTCGCGCCCTTTGTAAAGCTTCGTCAATACCTGCTACTCTAAAGAAGTTGTTCCTGAATCTTGCTGTCTCTGATTTTGCTGTGGGATTGTTTGCACAGCTTATGTTTGGAATCATCGTCGCAGTGATGTTGAAAATGGCAGCGAATGGAAACTTTAACTTTGACTTCTTGTGTCCAAGGATTTTAACTGTCTCTTATTTTGCGATATACCTTCTGACTTGCGCATCATTTTTGACTATTGTACTTATTGCTGTAGACAGATTTCTGGCCGTGTTTCTTCACCTCCGATATCAAGAGCTTGTTACCTCAAAACGTGTTGCTATTGCATTAGTGTCTCTGTGGCTAACAAGTGTTGTCGCTGTCTCTTCCTCATTCATTTCGCTTCCTGATCAATATAACATGGTGGTTGTTACTTTTGAACTTTTCGGTCTTCTCGTCACAACTGTGGGATATGTCCGTATTTATAAAGTTGTGAGACATCATCGAAATCAAATAGCGAGCCAGTCTCAACTGCAAAACAATCACACAATGAGGATACTCCGAGAAACGAAGTCGACCATAAATGCTTTGCTTGTCTACATCGTTTTCCTGGCTTGTTTTCTTCCCAATTTGTGCTGCATTTTTCTGCTGAGAGCAGACAGTCTTCGATTGTCTTTTTTGGTAGCTAATCACGTCTCTGGATTCCTCGTTCTCCTGAATTCTTCATTAAACCCCATTATTTACTGCTGGCGATATCGCGAGATAAGAGAAATCGTGAAAGACTTAATAAAACATTTATTCGTCACCAAGCAAAGAGTACAACAATCATAAATGGTAGCGTTTAAGAGGCATTGCTTAAAAGGACGAAGAGTGGGAAAAAAAAAAAAGATTAACTGCGACCGATATTAACTTCATTAATCTTAAATCAGCCTTCAAGGTTACTGTTATTTGCAGAAGAGTGGTTGGCTCAAGTTGTGAAACGAGACTAAGGGAAGATGGAATTGGAAGATTCAACATCATTTCGCTAATTTTACTACTATTATTTATTTATTAATTTTTGTTTTCAAAATCTAATGAGAAAAAAAAAACATCTCGTGCTGGTGGAATTCGTTAATTAGCATCTTCTTTGATTTTAAAGAGAATTTTTCAACGATGGGTGAATCCAAAAGGGTTAGGCTAAGAAGAAGATTTGAAATCATGAACGCAACCCTAGCTGGTAAAGTGCAAGAAAAAAATTGCACAAAGAGCGGTGTATGGTCGGACTTCGCATCACGCTAATGATCGTGTGTTATTATGATGATTCGTGTAATAAATTGTCCTTTTAATCGGGACACGGAAAACACTAGAAGAAATGATGACCAAATGCAAGGCGATTTCAGGTTTTTTCTCTCTTTAACCTTCACATCGGACGTGATGATACCATTAAAAGCTACTTGACAAGTCTCACGTTTGGTACGCTTTGTACAAATAATTTAAAATCTTTTCTGTTATAGAGTCCTTATCCCCACCGTTCATTTGCATTTTCGCTGATGCTCATTTGCATTTGTTTAAAAGAGCTAAAAGGAAAAAAGAAATGCTTTTGTCCGTTTTGTCATGTGTCAACTAAAAGAGTGGATCAGATGGGATTTTTTACTGACTGTTCAACGATTTGTTGGCTTAGCGAAAATACTGTTTGAACAATAGAGTGACTCCAAGATGAGCAGCTCAACCTTGATAAAAGCCCTCAGCTGAACAGCCAGTGAGTTCATTAGTGAAATCTCAAATGAAAAGAAAAAAAGGCTAAGGTTTTGAATTAATTTTACTGTGAGTTGACACCGAGCATTGATTTATTTCCTTCAGTTATCTAGTGGCACTGATAAAAATTGAAGCAATCCTGCTCTCGAGATCTGAGGTGATCTCGGCTTGCACTCTAAAACCAAATTTTGACATGAATCTACCACCAAGGTTGGTCTCTTTTGACGGAAGTCCACTACAGCTGTACACCGGAGAAATTTGAAAACTCAACAATCACCGGTCATTTTGCATTTAATTTGTGTTCGAGTAAGACTTGAGCAGGGGAATATCATGATAATCGTAACGTCATCGTTTTCGAAAAGCTTCGTTTTCAAAATGTTTTTCGCCCACACACTCGTGTGGACGGAAGGCATAACCGGAGAAATAAAGCCTCGTTTCCAAATTCCTTTGGCGCAGTGTGGACGGGGGCCGAGAAAGAGTCCAAGATAACTTGTATGCGCATGCTCAGAGCGAGTCAATCGGAGTGCAATCTCGTCCCCGGAGCCCTGGTCAAAGTCGAAAACGGGAACCAGAAAATCTTGATTACGGTTTGATGATGTGCATGCGTTCAAGTTCAATAACGATTTATAAACATGCGCAGAGAGAGTAGCCGCTATGACTAATGCTGGCTCACCCTCCGATTTCTCCCAGGGGAAAATAGGAGGTTATAGACGAATGAATTGTCTATAAGTAGTTATAGAATAGAATAGAATACCCCGAGTAAAATGAATAAATGAATGAATGAATGAATGAATGAATGAATGAATGAATGAATGAATGAATATATGAAAACGAAAAAACAATGGTACAAACAAACAAACAACTAGCTGCAAGTAGCAGCAAGTTTCCTCGAAAGTACACGCAAGCGCAAAAAAAAAAAAACATTTCAAGGCTGACAAATCCTGTATTTCATTAACTGATAGGCTGCTATAACAACGAATGGACGTCACTCAAATTACGTTGACTTAGGGTGAGTGGCCAAACGGGGAAAAAATTGCGTCGACTTGAGTGCAAATTTGATCTCGACCAAACTGAGCGCAAGTGATGGCAAATCAACGTAAGTGCGCCCAAGGCCTTGCTAAACGGAGTCGTCAATTGACCCAAGTTTTCAACTTCCGTCTACTTGCGAGTCCATTTGACCAGGACTTAATAATGGGATTAATTATAAGCTCGTGATTTCTCTAAGGTGATATTTGAGAGCCCGGAGGCTGAGCTTTCGTACCCGTACAGTGACTGGTGTACAATGACTGGAGGTTTTCTTGAAATGGCGACTTTGTCCCTTGTCTCCGACGACTCGGAGAAAATGATTTAAAAACAGTACTGGAAAATTAAATTCAAAGAGGACTAAAAGAAAACCATTTTCGTTTGCTCGACTTTGAAACATTAGTCCGTCCCAGACGTCTATTTTTGTTGTGTTTTTTTTTTCTTCAAACGCACGAGCGATAGAGGCAAGCGAGAGCGGCCGCGAGTGGGCGAAAAAATATTAAATATATTTTGTATGTCCCCGAGGGCACCCCAATGCGTTCGAGTTATTTTCAAATACCCTGCTGTGACCGCTTTAATTTGCTTGCAATCTCGACGAACTTGAGACACAGTAGATGCTCTGTGGACAGACCATTCAAACTGTTGACACAACAGTGACAAAGCTGTAAGTTTGAAATTAAAAATATTAATCTTGATATTGATATTGATAACACTTATTATTGCATAGTTTTGCGATATACTATATTACACTTATTATCCAGAAAACAGTTACAAGATAAAAGAGAGAATTCTGCTTTGTTCCCTGAGCGCTCAGAATTTTGCAATACGGATCGCTATGACGGACAGCTCACGACTTAGTTTTGCGAATTCCTTTTCTAAAACATTGCCCAAGAGAAAACAGGCAGTTGTTCAGTAAAGATATATTTTTTCCCTTCATATTTTGCAATACGGACCTCGCACTAGTTCAGTAACATTTATAAGTTATTTGCCATCTAGGTTATATTAGGTTGGCAGGAAAGCTTTATATTTTTATTGCACGTAAAATATACCACTTATCCGTCTTTTTCATTCGGCGTTGTTGTAAGTGACCATTTTCAACACAGTGTTTTTCACGATATTACGAACCTCACGATAACGCCAGCAGTAAACAAGTGGATTTAATGAAGAATTTAAGAAAAGCAAAACACCGGACAGAAAATATATTGCTAAAATGGGTACTGCCAAATTATAGAATTCAAGCAAAATGCTAGCTAGTAAGTTTGGAACATAACAGAGGAGCGAAATAATGTAGACATAGAAAGCATTCAAAGCTGACTTCCTTACTCTGGCGACTTCTCTCACCTCATCATTTTGAAACTGATTTTGGCACTGTATCTGGTTTCGATGATATCGCGCAACTTTGTAAATACGAAAGTACACTACAGTCAGGATAAGAAGTCCTACAGATACGAATGCCACCGCTACCATGTCATTATTGCTGGGAAGTGCCGTAAAGGCACAGGCAACAACTGCGCTGTTTACCCATGAAATCAGCAAGGCAATATTGACACGCTTCTCTGTGACAAGCTCTTGATATCGAAGATGAATAAACAAAGCAAGATATCTGTCCATTGCGATGGCGGTAATCGTGGAGAACGATGCTCCTACGACGAAACTTGTGCAGACAGTGGCCACAGTTATTACAGAGGGGCAGAAACGATCAAAGTCGTAGTTTCCATCCGCTGCCATATTCAGCATCACTGCAAGAGTAACAGCAGACGTTGGTTGAATGATCAATCCTATCGCTAGGTCGGAGAAGGCGAGACTCAGGAACAACTTCTTTAAATTAGCGGGTATTGATGATGCTTTCCACAGAGCGTGAATTACAATGAGATTTCCGAGAGTGGACGCAATGGAGAAGAGAAAGTTCAGCACACAAATGACTATCATGAAGGTTTCTTCGTGTTGAATTGCTGCAGAATATTTCTGCAATGTTTTATGACAGAAGGAAGCCATTTGTAATTAGAGGTTGTCCTTTGCAACAGGGTTCACATCTATTGATACCTCGTACTTGTTTGATATATTTTCGGAAATGATAATTTAAGTGGAACATGCCACTTTGGCTAGTTTAATTCTATGGCTGGAGAAAAACAATATTTTGTACTGTTAAACGTTTGTTTTGGTTTAGATGCGCATGCTGAGAAACTGCTTTTACAAAAACGCTTCGGTATTTTTAGAATTAATCTAAGGAGCCTGTTTACTGGGGTTTGTAGGCTACTAGTCAAATAAACGCATTGTTTGATAAAGTTTTGAATGCCGTCAGTGGTCCCAAGTAAAAGTTTGAATTTGCACCGAGCTCTTCAAAATCTCGTCAGCCACACAGGAAGATTTTTAATCAATGCATCGTTCTCGCTGGGTTGCAATTAATTTGTCTCTTTTTATTCAGTTTTAATTAATATTATAACAAAAAGAGGAATTATTGCCGGTTTTTGACAATTTTGTACCTAAGAAAGAAAACTTTTTTTTTTCTCAACCACAAGAGCCGAAGTCCTTCGTTGTTTCATAAACAGACGTCTAACGGCAATAAAAAAGGACTGATGATTTTAATATTAGTCGTGTGCCTTTTAATACACGAGGAGGAACATTTTGACCTTCTTTGAAAGAATCTAGTATAATTTTCGTATCCAGCGACACGTAATTCTTCTTAATAATTTTCTGAATACGAGACAAAATTTCAAACTAAGGATATTTGGTTACCATGAGATAATTAATATGGTACATGCTAATGGTAATGACGATGCCTTATTGCCTCCAGGCCGGGGTTGTTGTTCTATGGATATTCAGTATTCTATAGTTATAGTTGTACAAATAAAAACGAACAATTACAGCACAATAGCTCGATCACGGCGCAAATTTATTTTTTTCCGCTACATACGCGTTTGCCACATTTTAAACTTTTCTTCGAGTAGCTGACAATACTTATGGTCGTTTACTAGGGTAGAGTTCTCTTTTACTATCATCAATACCATTGAGGGACAAAGTTATTGTAGAACGATCCCATTTTGTTGAAGGTATTATATTAACTGAATCGACGTTTTCTTGTAAAGTGTCACTTACCAACCAAAAATCTAACCGTCTCTGAATAATTGGAAAGTTTGGACGCCACTTAAAACGCCTTTCTGTTGGATTGGTAATTCGCCATATATTCACTAAGTATCAGTTCCAAACAATTATCCTACTTCTAAATTCTTAACCGAATCCTTCTCTTTCTGTTAATTCCCCACTTCCAGCTAAGTCTGATATCGATTTCGATTAAAGGATCTTCTCCTACTACAAACGAACAATCAGATAAACGTAACACTTGTCATAATTTCGGCCGAGCTGGATTTAAGAAAAATCGCTTTGTTCGGCGCATTCATTTGGCGCATACTGCGTAGATGTTGATTAGAAGAAATGGAGAGTCCTTTATCATGATTGCTTGTAGTAGAATGTAGCGACCCTGATCATCGACCTTTGACGACAAGAGTTTAAAATGTAGCCGCTCCTTCGCTAATTATAAGTACACCCCTACCACGCGAGCTTCCATGTGAAAAGAACGTATCACCCTTCCTCTGTTTGCGCTAAATATTTTATTTTTCTTTGTAACTATACTTTTCTTGCAGAAACCATGTCTACATCTGATTTAAAAAGCCAGTTAAAAATATCCTTCCTTTTGTCGAAATTAAAGAGCGAATCCCACGAGCATTTAATGATAATACGTAATGTTGTTCAATCCCATTATTCGAAGAAAAAATTAGTACACAAAGGAGAAAAGGGTTTTTTGATATGAAAGAGGTGGCAGAGGAAAAAATGAATTCATATGAGCTGCAACAACAGTATTATAAAAAAGAGAAACAATTACACCAAACAATAAATAATGCAAGCAGCATTGCTGAAGGGCCAAAGTGCAATATATGGCAATTTTTGAAATGACAATACAAATTTGAGGTCATCTCATGACTACTACCACAGAAAAAACAAATACAAGTTTTAAAGTTTTAAATTTCTAACTTCGCATTTGGTCAACGCTCTTCCTAAGCTCAGTTGTTTTGCTTTCAACAGCCGTCACTGAATTTTGTACTTGGTCCACCGTTCTAGTTCTTGAGACCTTCTACCATAGACGTTCAATTATTAACCGTTGCAAGAAGAGATTCAAATCTAGTTTCCAAAGCTGCGATTAAGAGCCAACTCTTTGCGTTATATCTAAAGCTTATGGAATCTTATCTATCCTCTTTGCCCAGGCCAGGCTATCAGTAATGTCATCGTCCAAGTAAAAGTTCAAGCCCAAGTCCATATCTTTAGTTTTAATTTCTCTTGCACGATAATTACCATTAAGTACATTGCCGCGCACAAACTACTCTAAAAATAGCTTTAGCTATTGTGGTGCATTCTTTGGAACAGCCTTCCTTGCGACTTAACGGCGAAAGCAGAGTCCCTGAGGATGCATAAGGCACGGCATTCGTGGAAAAGCAGCTTTTTTATGTAATTATTTTTATTATATTAGACATTAGACGGTAAATGTATCAGGTAGTTTTAAGCTGGCGAATTCTGTACCTTGCTTAAGTAAAGATTATGTGTATGTATGTACACGTCTAAGTGCAAAACGCTCCTTTATGTATAGGTAATCATACGGTTTCGAGTTCAGTTTGAAATTAATTTGCACGAGTGAGTTTTTCAAAAAGCTGAAATTGCACTCGCCGAAGCGGCTCGTGCAATTTCAGCTTTTTGAAAAACTCACTCGTGCAAATTAATTCCAAATTGAACTCGAAACCGTATGATTACCTATACAAACACGAGACACAGTGTTTCATCGGGATATCCAGACACCGAGAAGAGAGTCGAAAATACGACGTGCAGCGGAGTATTTTTAACTACATTCGAGGTGTTTGGATAGCCGGTGAAACACTGTCTCGAGAGTTTGATATATTTTCTCAATCGAAACAAAAACTAAGAAGTAAATGGAGAGATAAAATCGTCAAAATCTATGCTAATTAAGACCGGGTATCCAAACCTCGTTCACGGTTGTGATTTTCTTTGTTTTAACTTGATGAATCATTAATGAGTTTGAGAAATATTACGTATTGCACACCGATGTACAATACGGTTGATAGTATCCAGGTTGCGTGCATTTTGTTAGGGCCAATTTTGACGGTACACCTTTGCCATTTTATAAAAGGAAAAATATTTAAATTAGCATTAAGTAATATTAGTACATGTATTGCAGATAATGTTAGTATTGTAAGTATTGTTAGCACTGTAATTGGTATTAGTATTTTTAGTAATCTTAGTTTTTGCATATAGTGTTTAGTAGTGTAAGCAAAGTTAGTATTGTAAATAACGTCAGTATTGTAGGTAATGCCAGTATTGTAAATAACTTTAGTTCTGAAAGCAATTATTTTAAAAAACACTTTGCCATGTATTTCAAGCTTAAGACAAGTCTACAACATGAATTGTTTCTTGTGATTGAAAACTATACAACTTGATTGTTTCGGCGCGAGGGCGACCGAAGCAGAACTTAACTTCGTCAACATTGTATTGACAGTTATTTATTAATTGTAAATACCTGATAACAAGATAATGCCTGCAGGCTGGCTCCAAAATTACTTCAGCACTATCCAGACACCAGATACATTCGGAAACAAATATGTCATTCGCTATAATCTAAGAATATTCACTGAATATTTTCAGCCTTTAATCAGCAGAAAAATAAGAATATTGAGCCTCGGTCGGAAAAACAATATTCTTATAAAAAATAACGAGTGTAGTGGTTTCATTTTGAGATAAAACAATCTTTCATTTTTTTTTAGCTATTATTTTAGCTACAAGCAAATTGCAAACCAATTTAAAAAAGCTCTAAGTAGTTTTTGACTTGTTCCCAGTGCATTAGGCTCGATTTCCGCCGCTTTCTCGTGTCTCCTTTCCCGAACAGCGGTTGGTAGTTGGTAATCGAGCCTGCCAGTGCATCTTCAAGTAATTCTAGTTCTTTAAGTCTGGTTACCTGCGTTATGCCAGGCTCCTAAGGCTTATCCTATGATTCCTGCAACCCTGGCAGGAGTTATTGTTTCGCCGATAAATACAAACATAATAGCTACAGAGTCAATTGGATAATTTGGACCATATAGTCCATTTTGGGAGGCTGCATAACACTCGAGCATAATGAGTCAACCCTACTGAGTGGTCCATCAGTAGCATGAAGTGGCTACATCCCTATGGATGGGATGGTGGTGCATCGCAGTGTTACCCCTCCCCCCTAACAATAAATTTACAGGAACTCATTCGTATAACCTGAGTGGAGAGAGACACTGCGAGAGTAAAGTGTCAAGTCAAAGAATACATTACACAAAGACCCCACACACGAACCATTCAAAAAATTTAGTAACAAGTTTCTTTTATGCTTACTTTACTTTCAGCCTCCAGGGACTAGAGTATGCAGAGTATTCAACCAAGCAAATACAGTGCCCCAGTGTCGGCATTATACAGTTATCTGCAGTTATGGCTGCCACGTGAGCTATTTAACAGCTTACCTGACTTGGGATAAGTTACAACAAACACATCATCCCCTCGCGTTTGAAAATTGACGATGTAATCTCGCAGTGCCGCAGGATTTGGCGTGTAGTAGTCATAAATTCGAATTACTTTTATCAAAAAAGTCTTCGAAGATGTCTATTCTCCTTCTTGCTCTTGAAAAACAGGAAAACCACAACTGGACATCGCTATATATATAAACAGAGTTCTGAACAGTGACGAAGTGTAACGTTGAAATTCAGTCACACGCAGATTAATAACTCTGACGAGAAAGAGGAACCGGCTACCCTACTCTGCCATATACTGTGTGGAATTCCTGTCTTCAGATATCTGAAAAAAACAATGAAACAAAACAAGAAGAAAAATTGAGCTTGGCTCAAAATAAACTTTTCTTTTATGAGGTACAACAAATGCAGACGGTTTTAATATTAATGGCTTTTGTTGAGTGACGCTTCCAGACGAAAAGCTTTGCCCCAGACAAATCCTTCTTCGACCGATAACTGATCCGTCATAAGTTCATGTTTATATTTAACGGCTTACTCTGAATAATGACGTAATTATGTTCCTCACGAGGTACCAGCTTTTAAAATGAAGCTACTGTGAAATTTGAAACAGGAAAACCCCAGGAACGTTACCTTGTAAATATAAAATTTTAATTTCTGAAAGCTATGACAAACACCCTCAACACTATTTTCAGTATGTATATCAAAAGAAATAAGTTTCGAATCAAGACTGTAGCCTTTTATGTTCTTAGTAAATTGAATTGCACCTGCGGCTGACGACATTCAGCCTCCTATTCCTCAAGACTATTCATTTATAGGAGAAATATTCCAAATGCTACATCTTTTTTCAACAGTTCATTTGTTAGAAAGGAGTCTCTATAAAGCTCGATGCTAAAACGAGTGGAGAAAATAAAATAAAGATGTTTTAAGTTTCAACTCTATAGTTAGTAAATGTCTGAAAGTAGCGACCCTTGTTTCTTTCATTTTTTATGAGAACTCGACCAGAAGTTAGAATAGACAGACTAGGTACGAAAATAATGGATTAATTCAGTTATTGGAAATTACCAATGAAGTAAGTAAATCTTTCAACAAGTCTCTTCCGCAAGTTTATCAGTGTTATGCAACTTCTGTCGCAACCAATATGTTTATATTTTGGTTTCGAAAGCCTTCGAAACCAAAATATTTAGATCGGGTTTTTAAGTACAAGCCTTCAGTCGCTCGACTGAGATCAGTAGAGGACATCTTGCACTTCTCGTCATGTACAGTTCTCAGAAGACCAATTTAACTGCTTATAGTATCGTCGAAATTGTACTAGTGCTGGTACTTTTAACGCAGACATGGTGTTTTCCAATTAATTCTTCAGAGGAAATCTACGCCAAAATTTCTGCAAGACAGCACCGTAAGTTGAATGATTTGTTCCTAAACGCGGATCAGTTTAAATATAACAAACATGAAAGTCCTTTCTGGGCCTGAAAATATTAATGTGTCATGCATGTAACACTTGAGAAATTTAGTTCAATGACGTTAACTGGTAGATATTGAGCGGGAGGTAGAGAAATGGAGAACTCGGACGGATCCATCTCAGTCATAGACAAGGTTGTTTAAAATAGGAGAAATAGGCTTCATGATTTCACGAGATTTCGTTTCATACTCTATACAAAGAGGCCGGAATGCATAACTTATAGCCCAGTTCTGGATAAAATAATGCATTATGATGCATTTATGATGTAAACGTAGATCTGCCCGTAAGATAAACATTACCTGTTTAAACGCAAAGCATGTTCTCTATTTCCGTAGTCAAATGAAATAATGGTCTATGTCAAAAGCTTGCGGAACTTTTCATGTATACTTNCGGTATTTTTAGAATTAATCTAAGGAGCCTGTTTACTGGGGTTTGTAGGCTACTAGTCAAATAAACGCATTGTTTGATAAAGTTTTGAATGCCGTCAGTGGTCCCAAGTAAAAGTTTGAATTTGCACCGAGCTCTTCAAAATCTCGTCAGCCACACAGGAAGATTTTTAATCAATGCATCGTTCTCGCTGGGTTGCAATTAATTTGTCTCTTTTTATTCAGTTTTAATTAATATTATAACAAAAAGAGGAATTATTGCCGGTTTTTGACAATTTTGTACCTAAGAAAGAAAACTTTTTTTTTTCTCAACCACAAGAGCCGAAGTCCTTCGTTGTTTCATAAACAGATGTCTAACGGCAATAAAAAAGGACTGATGATTTTAATATTAGTCGTGTGCCTTTTAATACACGAGGAGGAACATTTTGACCTTCTTTGAAAGAATCTAGTATAATTTTCGTATCCAGCGACACGTAATTCTTCTTAATAATTTTCTGAATACGAGACAAAATTTCAAACTAAGGATATTTGGTTACCATGAGATAATTAATATGGTACATGCTAATGGTAATGACGATGCCTTATTGCCTCCAGGCCGGGGTTGTTGTTCTATGGATATTCAGTATTCTATAGTTATAGTTGTACAAATAAAAACGAACAATTACAGCACAATAGCTCGATCACGGCGCAAATTTATTTTTTTCCGCTACATACGCGTTTGCCACATTTTAAACTTTTCTTCGAGTAGCTGACAATACTTATGGTCGTTTACTAGGGTAGAGTTCTCTTTTACTATCATCAATACCATTGAGGGACAAAGTTATTGTAGAACGATCCCATTTTGTTGAAGGTATTATATTAACTGAATCGACGTTTTCTTGTAAAGTGTCACTTACCAACCAAAAATCTAACCGTCTCTGAATAATTGGAAAGTTTGGACGCCAATTAAAACGCCTTTCTGTTGGATTGGTAATTCGCCATATATTCACTAAGTATAAGTTCCAAACAATTATCATACTTCTAAATTCTTAACCGAATCCTTCTCTTTCTGTTAATTCCCCACTTCCAGCTAAGTCTGATATCGATTTCGATTAAAGGATCTTCTCCTACTACAAACGAACAATCAGATAAACGTAACACTTGTCATAATTTCGGCCGAGCTGGATTTAAGAAAAATCGCTTTGTTCGGCGCATTCATTTGGCGCATACTGCGTAGATGTTGATTAGAAGAAATGGAGAGTCCTTTAT